GGGGACACACCTGGAGGGGAGACTGGGTCAAGAAGTGAAGCTGGAGTCTGGAGGGGACAGAGTGGGTGAGATCAGAGAACAGCGGGGATCGAGTGAGGGCTGGTGAACTGGGAGACCCGGAGGTGGTAAGTTCTGAGGTGGTTTGAGAAGGCTGGGCCAGGGAAACGGATTTCAGGGGAGTTTCAGGGGTGGTGATAGGTAGCTTAGCGGGGATCCAGGGCCAGGCAGGGCGCAGGCGGTTGGGGGGGTTCAGTAAGCAAGGAGCAGGTGGAGCTGGCATTTGAAGCTGGTGTAAAGAGAAACAGGACCCAGCTGGGGGCATTTCAGGCGAGAGGTTGGTACAAGCTGTGGGTAGCCCAAGGAGAAGAAAGCTCAAAGAGGGGACCCCACAAAGAGGCCATAGGCCAGGTCAGTGCAGTGCCCCCCATGGGGGAAGCCCCTTCCTGGGGCCAACGGAGCCATGCTGTCCCGAAAGGGCATTATCCCTGAGGAATATGTGCTGACCCGGCTGGCAGAGGACCCTACAGAGCCCAGGTACCGTGCTCGGGAGAGGAGGGCCCGCTTCGTGTCCAAGAAAGGCAACTGTAACGTCGCCCACAAGAACATTCGAGAGCAGGGCCGCTTCCTGCAGGATGTATTCACCACGCTGGTGGACCTCAAATGGCCCCACACGCTGCTCATTTTCACCATGTCCTTCCTGTGCAGCTGGCTGCTCTTCGCCATGGTCTGGTGGCTCATTGCCTTCTCCCACGGTGACCTGGCCCCCGGAGAGGGCACCACTGTGCCCTGCGTCACAAGCATCCACTCCTTTTCATCTGCCTTCCTCTTCTCCATCGAGGTCCAGGTGACTATTGGTTTCGGCGGGCGCATGGTGACAGAAGAATGTCCTCTGGCCATCCTTATTCTCATTGTGCAGAATATCGTAGGGCTAATGATCAATGCCATCATGCTGGGCTGCATCTTCATGAAGACGGCCCAGGCCCATCGGAGAGCAGAAACCCTCATCTTCAGCAAGCATGCTGTGATCACCCTGCGCCATGGCCGCCTCTGCTTCATGCTTCGTGTGGGGGACCTCCGAAAGAGCATGATCATCAGCGCCACCATCCACATGCAGGTGGTGCGCAAGACCACCAGCCCTGAGGGTGAGGTCGTGCCTCTCCACCAGGTGGACATCCCCATGGAGAATGGCGTGGGTGGCAATAGCATCTTCCTGGTGGCCCCGCTCATCATCTACCACGTCATCGACTCCAACAGCCCTCTCTACGACCTGGCTCCTAGTGACCTGCACCACCACCAAGACCTGGAGATCATTGTCATTCTGGAAGGCGTGGTAGAAACTACAGGCATTACCACACAGGCCCGCACCTCCTACCTAGCTGACGAGATTCTATGGGGGCAGCGCTTTGTTCCCATTGTGGCTGAGGAGGACGGCCGATATTCTGTGGACTACTCCAAATTTGGTAACACCGTTAAAGTGCCCACACCACTCTGCACAGCTCGCCAACTTGATGAGGACCGCAGCCTGCTGGATGCCCTGACTCTCGCCTCGGCACGAGGGCCCCTGCGCAAGCGCAGTGTAGCTGTGGCGAAGGCCAAGCCAAAGTTTAGCATCTCTCCGGATTCACTGTCCTAAATTGCAGTCCCTCAGGCCCCCACTCACTTATGTGGGCACATGGAGAGTAAAGTATGGTATGTAGAGTGAATGGGGTGCCAGTCCCTTGGCCAGGTGAGGGTTTGCTGTGTGACAAGACCCTCCTCGGCTCAGCCTCCCTGCTGCTGTGTGCCCAGGGTGTTACAAGGCACTTGTCACTATGCTATTTCTGGCCCCAGCAGGAGCCTGTACCGGGTTATTTTTGTTCCTGCTCCTCCCAGGCCCAGCTCAGGACCGGCTTTACCCCTGTCTTTCTGCCCAGCAATGGGGAGGCTATAGAAGGTTCAGGGCTCCTAAAGCTAAGGTCTCAAAGTCAGTCTTGGCCCTTCACGATTCATCCTGCCACAAGCAGACAGGTAACTGGGGAAAAGCCACCCCCAAGTTGTTTCTGTAGCCACTAAGAAATACCTGGCCAGGTCCCAGCCCTATTCATGCCTTGTAAAAGTGATCGCTGAAGAATCCTGCCAGTCAGAGGAGGAGGTCAGTATGAGAGCATGCGAGCTGAAGGGCCCACCCAGGCAGGGCAGGGCACGCTTGCCCAGGCTCCCCTCCATAGGGCACACTGGTGCCAGAAGGAGACAGAGCAGGGGGGGAAATGACTGGAGATCTTGTGTCCCCACCCTGAGAGTCTGGGAAGTGGGGTGCTGGGCAAACCCTGATGTGCCGAGAAGGGTCCTGTGCCTACCATACACGATGCACTGCAGGCAGCACGCTGCTCCTGGCTCCCCATGGGTAGCTGTGAGTCACTGCTTCTGGAGGATGCTGGTGAGTAGGGATGGCTTGTTTCACTTGCTAGAAAAAGAAATACTGGAAAGTTCAGTTGTGAGGGAAGAGAGCTCCCCGAGGCAAGGCCCTTGGGCTTGACCTGGGTTCTCAGAGCAGGGTCCTGTGTCCTTGTCCAGAGCTCTGCTGCAGCCCCATTCTCAAAAAAGCCTCCCAGCTGTGGCCTGAACTCGGGGCTTTTCTTGTGGGGAGGCCGTGGGCATGCTGCTGGAAAAAAGGAGGGCACGGCCAGCGTCTGCCACCCGCCATGGCCCTGGCAGGGAGGCCAGGAAAGCAGGCTCTTCTTCCCTCACCTCAGGAGGACTTCATCCTTCCCCTCCGGCTCCTCCTCGCACAGCTCAGTCTGTCCGGCCATCTTAGCCGTTCGACCTCCACCAGACATCATAAGTGAGGGCCTGGGCTCCCTCCTGAGACTCTGCTGGGGGCTGAAGTACCCACAGGGAGGGGCAGGGAGGTGTGGGCTCTCATTAGGGTATTGTTCGGCTCAGATCCTGAATCCGGGTGTATGACTCTGTTCTCAGTTGTCTCATCCATGTTAACAGTCCCTACCTCAGTGAGTTGACTCGGAGCAGGTGGAAAAGCACATGTAACATGCTTCTGAAGTGCCGATTCATAACACGTATTCAATAAATGCTGACTCTTGTGATTGCTGCTGAACTAGGCACGTGATGGGAAAGCTCACTAAAAGTATGTTAAGACAAAAAGGTGTTTTTTCTCCACTGCCTCTCGGTGACGCATTGCTCTGCCTGGTCTTACTCCCTGCATGGTGCCCCTCCCAGTTCAGATCTGGGCTGCAAGGCTGGTGTCCTTGTCTCTGCCCCCCTCACTACTGTCCACCCGCCTGTCACCTGCTCCATAGTGGTCGAGTTGTGATCTTCACTACTGTGTGGAATATTTTGTAGCTCCCTATCTCCTTATCAAGGATGGGATGACTCCTCTGCTGATAGTCATAAAAACCCCGGGCCAATGATTCTTCTTGACCATCCCTGGAGAAAGATGCCCTTCTCTCCTCTGTGACATGGGCCATCTTCTTTGCCTGTGTTTAAGGGTCTTCCTCCCCATCCCTAAATTTATGTCGCTTCCAGGTCAGTGCCATGTCGGCATCTGGAACTAAGTAGATGCTCAATGAAAGAATGAATGGTGGGGGGATGGGCTGTGCACATGACCACAACCCGGGGCTACAGGTAGAGCTGACTAAAGATGGCTGCCCCTAGATCAGGGAGGATCTACCTCAGAATACTCCAAAGGCAGGGATGGGTGAGCCAGGAAGTTGCTGCTACCAATCTGACCTCTAAACCATTCTCTCCTTGCCCTCTTCCCTTCACACACAGTCCCCAGTGCTGATTCCACCTGAGCAGAACTAGCTTTTTCCAGTTTAGAGAGAAAGGGTTAAAAAAAAAAATGCGCCCTCAGGGCTGGGATCTACAAATCAGGTGTAGCTTCTGACTGGGACTCTCCTTATGCTTAAGGCCACAGGGAAGAGCTAGAGTCACTTGCAAAATCTGCTGAATAGCAGCAGCCTAGGTGGCCCTGCCAAATAACCTTCCTTCCAACTCCTTGATAAGCGGACAGTGACAGCCTGAAGCCGGTAGAAATGAGGTTATGGTGCCACCTGCTGGCCACAGAGAAGACCTACAAAAGACCAGAAAATCTGGGCTGCTGGTCTTGATTTCCACTTAAGAAATTCCAAGCCTTAAAGCTTAGCTCAGAGAGAAACTAGAAAATTCAAGTCTTAAAGAGATAGCCAGTCAGTGTTGCTATGTAAGAATTGGAGGGTAAATGTGCTCATGGAAGCCTGGTACTCCCGTATTTGAAAGTGGTAGCAGGACCACTCTGTTAAGTGACAGTCTCACTTATGCCCAAAGTACCCGCGCCAGCACAGGGACCTCAACTGGCCTACGATCCACTTGCATGGACACCCGTCCATCTCCTTGCCTTTAAGTCTACTGTGTGGCAAGTCAAGCAGTGATAGTGCAGCCTGGGGCGGAACACATACCACGCTTGGTCCCCAGCTCAGCATGCGTGTGACATTTCCAGAGCGTCAGGTCTGAGTTCCGCAGGGGAGGAAAGCCAAGCTGCTCTCTTCTCCTTGGGGACTGTTTGTTGGTCTGGAAATGAACTGGCAAAGTAAACTGGAAACCCATTCGGGTCTGACACCTGGGGATGGACATCTCCAGTGGGTGTCCCTTCTGAGATGACACCCAAGCTTAACAGGACCCACTCTCCCCCTGCAGGTGGCCTCTTTACAGATTTGTCATTCACCTGGGTTCCTTCCTGACATCTTCCCTGGGCAGCTTCTTGTAACCAGGGGGAGGCATCCATGGCTCCCCACAGGTCTTAGTGTCCCCTTCCAAAGTCTTAAAATCATACAGCTTGAGTTTTATCAATGCATGCAGGTGACTGAGAAAGACGATGTGAATTCTGCACATCTGCCATGTCCTCACATCCCCAGACTGCTGTGGGTCTGAAGAATGACAGTTCTATTCCTGCTCCAAAGGAGAGCGGGAGAGGAAGGACAGGAGTGGAGCCAGAGACCAGGGCAGGGATCTAGACTGGCAGCCTCTCTACTGCCCCCCCCCCCCCGCCTGGGGCACTGCACATGCTCACAGGAAGGGAAACGGGTCCTGCTATGCTCCCTTCTCCTCCCACTCTTGGCAGGCTCAGTTCTGAAGTGACGTGAGTCCAGGGTGTGATCTGTCTGTCACCTGACCTTGATTCTTTCTAGGTCCTGGTGGTAATGAACTGAATGTTAGATCCTGGGTCAGGCCCTGCCTATTCCACCCTGCCATCATAGATAGTACGTGCCTCTGTAATCCTCGCCGCCTCAGAGATCTGACAAGTGCCACCACAATGTCTTAGTTATGACTTCAACTACATCCTATGGGCTTCTTACATGACATGGGGCCTTGTTCGTTTCTCAGAAATAAGAGAGAGGAGTTCCACTTTGTCTTTTCCTCCTCACCAGACTGTCTGCCTGCCTATGGCATTAATAATCCCTCTAATAACCCTTTCCCTCTGAAGTGTGGCCTGACCCAGCACCTCCCAGAGACCGTGGGATTCAAGTGCATCCGCGCCCCACGGCCCACTTGAGGCACAGCCTGTACAGGTCAGCACCAGTCTCCCCATCCTGAAGTCATCTCATTGGCTGCAATGCAAGTGCGCCTCGAACTCCCAGACCATTGTCCTGCAGTTAGAGTCAACCAGAATCAGGGGAGCTCTCCCTGCCCACTCTTTATTTCCATTTGGTCAATTCCAGCTCTGGTCAGATGACATTATGACTGGAGGAGGAGGTGAGGTATTTCATGGTAACTAAGAGAGAAACAAACACCCACCATACACTATTCGGACAGTTTGCCTGGGGTCCACTTTCTGCTCCGCCCGTCATTTCCCATCTGTCTTGGGGGTAGCATGCAAATCATCTTACTGTAGAATTCTTACTCTACAGTGTGCCTTCAGGACCTATTATGGGTCATCAAGAAAGGCCACCCAGAGAGCAATATGAAATCAGCTAAGAATCTGTTCTTCACCATTTTCAGATAAAAACTACCATTGTCCACCTTGAGGTGGTCAGGAACGAGCCGAGTCTTTCCGTGGAGTCCTTCAGTCTCTGGTGTGTCACTGGGGCCGCGGTGAAGCAGCCACAGAGATAGAGTCAGAAGTACAAGTGCTTCAGGGGAGATTCTTTGGAAGACACAGAGCAGAACAAGCGGGAGGGAGCTTTCGGCTCACGGTACAGGCTAGTGAATGGAGAAGAGGAAGGAACTAGGAGAGATTGAGTAGGAAGAGCCTCAGTCTCTTGGAGAGAGACACTGCCCCAACAGGGAACTCCTGTTGTACTCAGTCAGACTGGAGCTATTCAGGAAGAGAGAATTAGCTAAAATGCTGCCCCGGCTCCATGGAAGGATGTCAACTGACTACAGTACCCAGGGCAGACACTCTCTCAGAGGGGACCTTGCAGCTTCGCCCCCCTCTATCACATTGCTCTTGGTAAAGGTCAGCTTTCCGAGAACTGTATCAGTCAGGTTTTGCTATATAACAAGCAAACCTAACAGAGGCTCAATAAAATAAGTATTTCTTAGAAAAAAAATTGTCTTGAAATTCATAAGGAAGTACTGAAGACCCAGAAAAGCCAAAACAATCCTGAGCAAAGAGCAATCCTGGGGGAGTCATAATATCTGATTTTACATTGCACTGTAGAGTCATAGTAACAAAGCCAGGAAGATATTGGCACACTGAGATGGAACTGGAGAGAGGGCCCGGAAAAAAGCCCACACAGCCACAGTACCTGATTCTCAACAAAGACATCACAAATGCAGAAGAAAAGATAGACGCTTCAGCACACGATGTGAGGAAACTGGGTATCCATATGTGAAGAACAGAGCGTCCCCATCTCTGTCTCTCACGTTGCACAAATGCAACTCGCAAGAAGATGTTAATGTAAGATGTGGGGAGCCGAAACGCCTAGAGGAAAGCAAGAGAGTGGAATAGACACAGACGGTCTGGGAAGACTCCAGTGCCTTGTGAACAGCACCAATAACTGGGAAGCCGGGTGTAGCGAGCTGAAAGCCTTCTGCGTAGCAAGGGAAACAACGCCGTGAAGACAGCCTGCAGAATGAGGGGAAATCTTTGCAGCCTGTCACCTGACAGGGGATTAACACAGAGACTATATGAAGAGCCCAGGGGGATAAGCAGAAGAACAAGCACTCCTCTCGGTGACGCACGCATAAATAGAATAACCAGTTCTCAAGTGCGGTGCACGGCAGGCGTGTGCCTCATGACTGCAATCGCAGCACTTGGGGGCTGACGCGGGAAGATTACTGCAAGATTCAGGCTAGCCTGGGCTACAGGGGGAGGCTGCATCTCAAGACCCAAACAACATCAACAACAAAATCACAAATCACCTATATATAAGAAAAACGGGGCCAGTGTTAGGAGTCAGTGGACAATGGCACCTGCTGCTAAGGCTCACAGCGTGAGTTTGGTTCCTAGGACCCATCTGGTGGGAGGTGAATGCCAACTCCTTCAAGTGGCCTTCACAGGTATGCCATGATATGTGCACAGCCATATGTATTTATAAATAAGTGTAATTTAGGAATTTCTAATATACGGGAAAAGATTCAATATATTCCTGTCAGGAAAATGCAGTCAAATAACCAAGATCACATCTTGCCCCATCTGGGGCACAATGGTTGTCACCAGGCTTTGAAGCTGTGGTGGCTAGTCTTGGTTGTCAACTTGACTGCATCTGGATTAACTAAAACCCCCAACTGGAGGGGCACACCTGTGAGGGACGTTTGCCTCATTTGAAGAGGCACTTCTAATCAGGATTTCTGAGAAGGGAAGACACACCTTTTACCCAGATCTTTGGAACTGGATAACCCACCTCTAATCTGGGCCACCCCATCTGCTGGGAGCCTGTCTAAGGACGCGAAAAAAGGAAATTTTGCTATGGGCCTGGTTGCATTTGCCTCGGTAGCAAGTCCATTCCTGCACTGGCAAGAGAGCCTGCTCTTTGGGATTACAGTGTATCTGAAGACCAGATGAGACATCTAGTCTCGTGGACTGAAGAATACTAAATTCTTGGATCTTCTATTCCTAGGCAGCCATTGTTAGATTAGCTGGACCACAGCCTGCAAGCCATTCTAATAAATCTCCTTT